CTCCTCCTCCTCCCCCATAGTCTTTTGTCTTTTTCTTCTTTCCTTTCCTTCTTATTTCTGTGCGGTCCCCTGCTTCTTCTTTTCTTCTCCTCCTCTTCTTTTATGTTTTCCTTCTTCTCTCCTTCCTCTTCCTGTTCCTCTTTTTAAATGTTCGTTTTCATCCTGGCTAGTTGAAATAACGATAAAACCTGCATTTCTCTTCAAGTGTCTTCTAAACATCGAAACCTAGTTTTGTTTTTTAAACACCGCCTTGTCTTTCTCCACCCCACTTTCTGTCGCGCTTAAAAAATTATTTCTGGTTTATTTGTTTCTCCTCTGACTTTAGCCTTGAGCATCTGGGTTTTGATTTACTCAAGCCACTTCGCTACCCTAGAATTTAATACAAAGTTCTATCTACTCAGTACATGTACCTAGATTTGAGAAAGTGGATGTAAAAAAACTTTGAGTTTCGCAACACGTCAAGCTTTTTCGAATGCAGTTCTTCGAAAATCTTGATGACAAATCAGAATAATCTTTCAATTTTGATAGAGTAGACAGAACATTGGTTTCTGACCTCATGGTCTTAGTTAGTTACTCAAAATGGCCAAAATGTAAGATAGAACTTTTTAAATTCTTAGGTAGCAACTTGAAAGAGCAGTCAGGGTGGGGAGCGCGGTCCGTGTACTGAACACTTGCCGTTTTGTGGATGTTGCTCTTTTTCTTTGTCTTAAAATATATTTTTTAAAAATACTTGTGGATGGTTGACGCTTGCTCTACTGTGGTTTGCTCCCTCTCTGCTTTCAAACACCTATCGTCCACATCTCTCTCTCTCTCCTTTCTTTTCTTTGTATGATGATGCTGTCTCGTAACACCTTTAAAACCTTCGGCACTTAAATGACCTATTATAGTCGCCAGTGCCGTAAAACTTTTAGGGAAACTAAAGTAAAACTATAAATGAATTGTTAGCAGCTGGTTAAAAGGTGCCACTGACAGTTCGTTTCTGTCTTACTTTATGATCCGAGATCTTGTATTATCTGTAATGCTGATGCTGTCGTGTTCTATTACTCTCCTTCCTTTCATTATTTGTCTGTCTGTCTGTCTGTCTGTCTGTCTGTCTGTCTGTCTGTCTGTCTGTCTGT